GCTTAAGTCTATCTCCGTAGCTCAATTGCGATAGCCCAATGACTCGCTTGGTGGCTCTTCTTTGAACCCCTTCCAGTGCTTTAATGTCTCGTACTAAGGTTGGGGCACGCTTGAATGTTATGTTCAAGGTGGGGTCTTACGTAGTTTCTGTATAACATTCTGAAGCACTCAGGCTTCAGGCTTCCCAGGTTTCAGTTTATTAGGCTCTGCATTAGGCTGTCTCGTTTAACTAGCTTAGTGTGGTTTTGTGAGAAGTTTGAACGATCCGGCAGAACCGACACTAGATCTGTTTCCTGTTTAACTACCGTCAGTGGCACTGAGTTAAGGTAGTATCTGCTGTCCGTTTCTCCCCTGACGTGTACTATATGGCATTTTGACTGGTTTAAGGGGAGACCATTTTCGATTCCCCATCATCCGATCGCATCTAGGTTACGTTGGAGGATTACTCTGTCCTCCTCGTTTCTGATACTGTGCCAGATCTTGACGTCAGGCGGAGATGACGCAGTTTGGCCTCGATGGCGACTCTGTCACAATGCATCACGGAAAGTACTTCGGTTGGAGTAAGCGAAGCAAAGTTAGCTAGTTGTTGTTCCGCGTATAGTGAGTCGCTTTCAGATACAGTTTCGAAGTGCATTGCTAAGGCTTCCGCGGCTTCCACGTCAGAGGAACTTCCAGTATTTCCCGTTTCTATTTTGGTGATGCCAGTAGTATCTGACCTAGTCTGGGCTGTGTCGATAGAGCAGTTTAGGATTTTGCTTTTCTTTCTCGCATAGCTGAAGCTGGTTGAGTCTTCTGTCCTCACGTTGGAGCGTTGGGCAGCAGAATCTGACAGTCCTGTAAGACTCAAAATCTTCGAGCGTATGATTCAGCTGGTATCTATTCCAAGATGATCGCCTTAAGCTGATCAGCTTCTTAGTCCTGCTCCGAAGCAAAGTTCTTTTTCCATTCTAGGGTTTGACGGTGCGCAGAGGAACTAGGTCGTGGATTGTCAGTTGTAGATTGGTCAGGATTTTACGCCACAAATCGTCAACTGATGCCTCACCTGATTGTTCCATCCAGGGAAGTGCTGATNNNNGCCCTGCGAGTAACTGATCTATGTTTTTAGTGTTACACCCTAGGAATTGGAACATGATCGTGGCATGGTCACTTTTTCCTAGTGGATTCAGTATCTCTTAATCGTCCACTAGCAGCGGGGTTTTAGTAAGGACGTAATGGAGCATGGATGAGACTCCTTCGGAGTTCCATCTGGTGGGTCCTTGCACGTACCCCACTAGTCGTAGCTCAGAACATAGCTCTAGAAAGCGAGTTGTGGGTCGCGAAATCGTAAGACGGGAGATTGAAATCTCCCATAG